TAGCCATAGCTACTTGGGAGGCTGAATGAGGAGGATTGCTTTAACTCAGGACTTTGAGGTTTGAACTCAGGAGTTTGAGTGAGCTAGGCTGAGGCCATGGCACTCTATCCCAGGTGACAGAACAAGCCCTCTGTCTAAAAAAAGGCCCTCTAGATTCCATTTGAAGTCATCTCAGTGCAACCAGCGGGACCCAAGCTATACTTAAAGCAAGTGGAGTCAAAGGATGGAAGAGAAAGCCTGTGGAGTCACAGCAAGTGGAAACCAAGGACAGAAGAGCTCCCAGTGGCCAAAGCTGGAATAATTTGAGCAACAAAATAAATAACATAGTCTTGGAATATAGCCTAAAGTATAAACTAAATATCCATGAGTCCATACTGTTATAAATGGTTGACTAAATAAAGGGAGGAGAAGAGATACATCATCCTTAGAGAGGAATTCTAAATGATTTATGAAGATACATTCCCTTCCAGAATGTGGAGCTTAATTCTCCCCTTGAGTGTGGGCTGCACTTAGTGACTTGGTTCCAAAGACTAGAAAGGGAGGACAAACAAATAACTTCACAAGGGTAGAAACTTGGCAAACACCACCTTTCCCAGGTAGTCAAGATGATGAAGTCATTCAGATAACATGTAGCCTTTACCTTTATGGTGTCCTTCCTTCAAACCCTAACCCGAGTCTCACTCTACTGAGGGAAACAAAATGAGACTTTGTCACACACACAAAAAAATTGCATGTATGTGTCTATATATGTCATTATGAATGTTTTGAGCTACACAAAAACCAAGAAATGTAAAATCTGCATGGACAGAAATCAATGAAGCCTTCCCTGCAACACCAATAAGCCAAGCAAGTTGAAACTTCCATAGGTGAATCAGAAAGGAGGCTGTCAACAGTATTTCTTTTTTTTTATCCACTTTTATAATATATCTATTTTTTATACATAATGTTTATTTTTTTCCTTTTTTTTTATTGTTGGGGATTCATTGAGAGTACAAGAACCCAGGTTACACTGACTGCATTTGTTAGGTAAAGTCCCTCTTACACTTGTGTCTTGCCCCCAAAAGGTGTGGCACACACCAAGACCCCACCCCCTCCCTCCTTCTCTGCTCTTCCTTTCCCCCCACCCCTCCCTCCTTCTTTCTCCTTCTGCTCTCCCCTTCCCCCCACTGTGTCATTAATTGTCATTAATTTTCCTCATACAAAATTGAGTACATAGGATTAATGCTTCTCCATTCTTGTGATGCTTTACTAAGAATAATGTGTTCCACTTCCATCTAGGTTAATACAAAGGCTGTAAAGTCTCCATTTTTTAAAATGGTTGAATGGTATTCCATGATGTACATATATCACAGCTTATTAATCCATTCCTGGGTTGGCAGGCATTTAGGCTGTTTCCACATTTTGGTGATTGTAAATTGAGCTGCAATAAACAGTCTAGTGCAAGTGTCCTTATGATAAAAGGATTTTTTTCCTTCTGGATAGATGCTCAGTAATGGGATTGCAGGATCAAATGGGAGGTCTAGCTTGAGTTCTTTGAGGGTTCTCCATAGTTCCTTCCAAAAAGTTTGCAGTCCCACCAGCAGTGTACACATCTACATTATACATCCTATATATAGGTTCTCCTCTCTGGAGAACCCTGACTAATACAATGGGAAATATTTGTATTCTAAATCAAAGGCTTACCTTTATTTTCTGTATATATGAAATTATCTTAAAATAAGTTCATTTGGCTCGGTGCCTGTGGCTCAAGTGGCTAACGCACCAGCCACGTACACCCAAGGTGGTGGGTTCAAATCCAGCCCGGGCCCGCCAAACAACAATGACGGCCGCAACCAAAAAATAGCCAGGCATTGTGGTGGGCACCTGTGGTCCCAGCTACTTGGGAGGCAGAGGCAGAAGACTCGCTTGAGCCCAGGAGTTGGAGGTTGCTGTGAGCTGAGATGCCATGGCACTCTACCCAGGGGGACAGCTTGAGGCTCCTGTCTCAAAAAAAAAAAAAAAAAAAAAAGTTCATTTTTAAAAGAGGGGGAGAGGCATGAATTTTGAAATCATGTAGACCTGTGTATTTTTTTTTTTTTTTTTTTTTGAGACAGAGCCTCAAGCTGTCCCCCTGGGTAGAGTGCCATGGCATTACAGCTCACAGCAACCTCCAACTCCTGGGCTCAAGCGAGTCTCCTGCCTCCGCCTCCCAAGTAGCTGGGACCACAGGCGCCCGCCACAACGCCCGGCTATTTTTTGGTTGCAGCCGTCATTGTTGTTTGGCGGGTCCGGGCTGGGGATTCGAACCCGCCACCTTAGGTGTACGTGGCTGGCGCCTTAGCCGGTTAAGCTATAGGCGCCAAGCCTAGACCTGTGTATTTGTTTCCTGTGTGTGTCAGAACAAATTACCACAAACTGGGTAGCTTAAAACAACAGATATTCATTGTCTTTTGTTCTTATTTTAGACTTCTGGAGGCCATAAATTCAACATTAGTTTCACTGGGCTAAAGTCAGTGTGTTGGCAGGGCTGTATTCCCTCCAGATGCTCTAAGAAAGACTCTATCCTGGTCTCTTCCAAATTCTGGTGGCTGCTGGCAATCCTTGCCTTGTGGTTACATCTGTCTTGTCTTCATGTCATATTTCTTTCTTGTCTTCTGTGTCTGTCTAATCTCCCTCTGTCTTATAAAAATACGTGTGATGGCACTTAGGGCCCACTTGGATAAGCCTGGATGATCTCCTAATCTCAACATTCTTAACTTAATCACATCTGCAAAAAATCCCTTTCTCAAATAAGGAAATATTTACAGACAAGTTTCAGAGATTAGGACTTTGGGTGGTCATTTTTTAGCCTACTATAACCTGGTTGTGTGAAAATCAGGACTTCTATAGTGTAAATAAGCCTCCTCTGTAACTGAAAATAAAAACTACATAACTATTTTCTTTCAAGTGTTCATCTGGGTTCTACCTGAAATTATCTTGGTGTGACCAGTGGGACACAAGCATCACTTTGTAAAACTATTGATGCAAGAGACTGGTTTAGAAGTCCAACAGTTCTACGTTCTACATATGGCTCCATCACACACTACCTTGTGGCCTTGGTTAAGTCAACAAGCTCCTTGAAGGGTATCTTCTCTTCTGTACAAGAGGATGGTAGCCCTGCTGCAGAGCAATGCTATCAGAACTCCTCTAGACCAGGTAGCAAATGCACAAGAATCAAATGCTCTTCTTTCCTCCTCCATTTTATGGCATATGTTACACTTTACAAAATATTTTCTACATACAATAACATTTGATCTCCATGAAATTTCATCCAGTTAGATAAAGCCAAATTTTCCTTCTCATTATTTCACTGGAGAAGCTGAGACTTGATGTCAATTGACTTTGCTAACTTCACCTAACTAGAAAACTAGAGACCTGGGTGTCCAGGGACACAGTCAGTGGGGGCAAAGAGGCAGATGCCCTTTAGATGGGGCAGTTTTGCTGATCTGGCTACTGAATCCTTTTCATGACTTTTTTTTTTGGACAGAGTCTCACTCCATTGCCCTGGGTGGAATGCAGTATTGTCCGCAACCTCAAACTCCTGGGCTTGAGCAATCCTCCTGCCTTGCCTCAGCCTCCCAAATAGCTGGGACTACAGGCTCATGATGATGCCTGACTAATTTTTCTATTTTTAGGAGAGACAGGGTCTTGTTCTTGCTCAAGTTGGTCTTGAAGTCCTAATGAGCTCAAGGGATTCTGCTTTGGCCTCCCAGAATGCTAGGATTACAGGTGTGAGCCATTACTCCTGGCTGATGACTTTCATTACCTTTCTTGTCCCTTTACGCATGTGGGTTTACAACTCATAAGTTCCTAACTCTGGTTCATGCTGCTAGAACTTGATCATAGACATTTGGACTTGAAGCCATACTCATGGGGTTCCCCTGTGATAGCCTACTCAGTTTTCCAGTGGCCTCCTGTCCCTGGCTTCTCTGATCCCACAGGCTTTCCATTCTCTGAAGACTGCCAGACAGACTCATAGTATGTCCCCAGGTTTGAGTTTGGCTAGGTTCTCTGGTCTGATAGCTCCTTGTTCTGAGTCCTCGAGGCAGAGATTGCTATAGGACCCTCCTGCTGCAGGGTCCACCACAGAGCTTGGGTGTCCAGATCTGAGGGGCCTACTGAAAGGGATTCAGGCTGGCTCCTCAGGAGGTCACAGAGAGAGGAGAGAGGGTGTGTTGAGGGCCCACATGCCAACATGTCAGGAGTCAGACTGCCTGAGATCCAATTCCAGCTTCTGCACCTTACAACCCTTGATCCTGGGCAAGTCACCAAATTCTTTTGCGTCTGTTTCCTTATTTATAAAAAGGGAATCATAGAATCTCAAAGGAAAACTGCAAAGCTCAATATATAAAGCTTTCATTACAGTACAAGGTGAGTACTCGCCCTTGTCATTATTAAGCCCTAATCATATCACTGCATGGGCTCGTCTCTCTTCTGGATGTGCCTCTCTGGAGAGATTTGATTCCTCCTGAGGGGCGGCGGTGCGAGGTCAGGGAAGCAGCTGGGGATCCAGAAGTTCTGGGTCTCTGGTCTCTGTCACTTTTTACTGTATAGTCCTATTTTTACTGTGAGTCATTCCCAGCCTATCAGTCATCCCCGCCTGTACAAGGGAATGATAAAGTGCCCATCCCATAGCGGGGCCTCAGCCTCTGTGTGGGACGCACCCTGCCGAACCCACTGGCAGTTTCTAGAAAGTCCGCCCCAGGGCCAGGACCTCCAAGCGTCAGACGCTGGGGCTCCCGAGGGTGGGAACAAAGCAGGAGAGGGTGGCCGGCAGACACGGACCCGGCTGAGGCAGCTACTGCAACGCCAAGAGGCTGCCAGTAGAAAAGACCGGACGGGTGCGCCCGGGACGAGGCCCCGCCCCGGAACGTGCCCCCAAGCCCGCGCGAGGCCCCGCCTCCAGCCGAGGCTCCGCCCAGAACAAGGCCTGCGCAGGCCCCACCTAGGCTCTCTTGGTCTCTCGGTTGGTGCAGAGCACCTGCGCGCCGGACTGTGTCTGACTGACCACAGACGCCAGCGCCCCCTGATAATCCGAGTGTGTCTGGCTGTGTCTGGCTGAGCACAGATTTCACGGGTGCCTGACAGACCAAGGCTGCTGGATCTGTCCGCCTGACCACAGTTGACTGACTGACTGACTGCGCTCACCTGGCTGCGGCATCTGGGCCTGGCGAGGCGCGTCTGACGGAGGCGGCCTGACTGCCGCTGACTGACCAGACTCCATCTGGGCCTGCCGGGCCGTGTCTGACCGGCCACAGTTTGCTGACCGCGCCGGTTGGGGCCAGCTTCTCCACCACATCTCTGCCTGGCAAGCAGGTGCGGACGCGCCCTGGGCCTGCGTGCCCCCGGCTGGCCTCGGGACACAACGACAGTGCCTGCGAGGCGCCGCGAGGCCGGGCTGCCAGTGTCTGCGCGTCTGCGTGGCCGCCGGACTCCGAGGCGGGCTGTCAGCAGACTGAGGGACCTGACTGTCCCTCTCCGGCCGCCTCGGTCTCACTCGTCCGACTGACTACAATGCCTGTGCCCGCCGCGATGACTGGTCACCGCTGGCCGCATCTGTCCCGCGCAGTAGACACGCAAAGACCGGGTGAACCAGATGGCCCGCCCGGGGCCCGGACCTTTTTTTTTTGACAAAGTCTCAACTTTGTCACCCTGGGTTGAGTGCCATGGCGTCATCTTAGCTCACGGCAACCTCAAACTCCTGGGCTCAAACGGTTCTCTTGCCTGTTTTTCTATTTTTAGCAGAGACAGGGTCTCACTCTTGCTCAGGCTGGTCTCCAACGCCTGAGTTCAGCAATCCATCCGCCTGGGCCTCCCGGAGTGCTGGGACTACAGGCCTGAGCCACTGAGCCAGCCCCATTCCCCCCTTTCCCCCGCTTTCCCCCGCTTTCCCCCCACCCTCCTCGAGACAGAGCCTAAGCTGTCCCCTGGGTAGAGTGCTGTGACATCACAAATCATAGCAACCTCCAACTCTTGGGCTCAAGCGAGTCTCCTGCCTACGCCTCCCAAGTAGCTGGG